CAGCATTGATTCTCCAAGGATGTTTTCATACTGTCCCTGCCCTTGAGCACAAGAACCCCCACGAAGTAGCTACTCATGAGGCAAAAACTTTTTAAAACATGACCGTGGCTGACTCTCACTATCTGAGAAGTGTTTATGCTGAGCTCCAAGAGGGGGACAGGTGAGGAGGGGGGGCAGGTGAGGAGGGGGACAGAAGGACAAGGTGTCCCCTTGTACCTTTCACAGCCAGGTCTACACTGGCTCTGGGCAGCGGGAGGGGCCTGGGCCTGTTCTAAACCTGAGCATCTGGGCCCTGGGAGGTCCGAACAGGAGAGGCCACCCTCCGGTCTGGGGTTGGGAGAGTGCCCTGTGCCTCCGAAGGGAGCACAGAGAATCAAAGTAGTGTGTTCCCAAATTCCATGTCGATGATCATGGCAGAGATGGACGTGGACGTATGGAAGCCAGCAGCCGTTTGAACGTGCAAAGTAATAATAGAGTTTTTGGCTTGCTAATGGAGAATTTCCTAATCCGAAGAGGCTGCCCCCAACTGTGGGGTAATTAGGGAGGTGCCATTATGTGCCATTATGTTCGGAGGCTGGGGTTTGTGCTTCAGAAATACTCTCAAGAAGCAGGAAGGGATGTGCGTGGGTCTTGCTGAGCAGCTGTCCATGGATAATTTTTTAAAAATTTGCCAGATATTTAGAAGCCCAGCCTGATGGTCGTAGGTTGACAGAATGGGTCGAGAAGGCGGATCTGTCCTCCAGCCTTAGCAACGTCTGGTCTTCCGGGACTCCCGCCCCTGCCTTTTCAAGGTGGCTTGCTGTGGGGTGGCCAGAATAGGGTTCTCCCAGACTCGTCCTTCGGGGAGGTTTCCCGCCCCCAGTGAGATCAGCAGCCCCTTTCAGCCTCTCATACGTTAGGAAATGCAGAAATTAACAGCTTTGCGGATGCCTGGAAGGTAAACAAGGAAACTGTGAGACTTGGCAGTGTAGGATATCCGTGAGAAGCTGAAGCCCAGAGGATTTAGAAGCATTGTGCAGGGACCCCCGCCCGCCGTGTGAGTTACCGCATAGAGGCAGAGTGAACTTGCTCCTTGACCGATGCCAGGGCGGCCGGTGCTCCGTGGCTGGGGCCTCTTGCTTTCCCACCGCGGGTGGCGTGCATGATGCTGTCTCGTATTCTCTCCTTTGTAGTGGTTTTCTGCCCTTTGGGCAGCCCGTCTAAATTAATTGCACCCCTCAACGTGCTCCAGAGTCCCTGTGCCTGAGGGGGAATGGCTCTGACAGTAGATGGGCCACACCTCAGTGTCTCCAGAAACACCGGGATCTGAGGGAAGGCAGCCCGGACGGAGGAGCTCCTCTCTGGGGCCTGCCCATCCAGATAAGACTGCGGCAAGCCCCGATTCCTGGAGTCTGATTGCATGATTTTGATTTTCCTCTGTGTGCCCTCGCTTTATAAAACTTTAACCTATCAGCAAAGTTCACATTTTAGATACACTATACATGTGGAAATATACATGGGGTCGTTTTTAAATTAAACGAAAAATGTGCATCCCCCAGTTTCATAAATGCTGCTGCCTGTTTAAAAGAATGGCTTGCAGATTCCCCCTTGGCAACGCACCTTCTGCCCACCTGAATGTTTGGCGCGCTCCTGGCCAACGGTGTGCGTAGAAAACAGTTTACTGTTGTCTGAGTTTGGAAAGATTGCCTGGTTCGGTCCGTCTGAGAGCTTGACACGTCAGAATAATTTTAATTTCTTCCCTACGTGAAGCAGTCCTGATGGATTGATTCTAAATGCTGCAGTTTTATTTTCTTCTTTGGGAGGCCTGGATGCACAGTAAGGTGGTGTGGTCTTTCCATATCTTGTGAGGCATCAGGACCAAGCCCTGCCGCCCGGAGCCACTTCCTGCTGGAGTGCCCGCCCGCCTGACCTCGCCTGCCTTCTCAGTGGATTTCCCCTGTTCCATGTCCTCACACCACCTCTTTCCCAGGGTCTAGCTTGGCAGGCGTCCTCCCCCCACGCCACCTCTGCCCCTTGGAAACAGCAGCTGCATCTGGATGCCCCAGGGACAGAGCTCCATGCTTCTGTGGTCAGGCTGGCTCGGGCTTCTGGGAGCCAGGCCACTCCCACAGACCCCCTTCTCCCTCCAGCCCTCCCCAGGAGGTATGTGGCCAGCCTGAGCCTTTCCGGGTCTTGCTGGCACACAGACCACAGTGGAGCTTTCCCTGGGGTGAGAAGAGATTTTAGGGACTTGCTTTGTCAGTGTCGTCCTCAACGCACGCCTTTCATGGGTCCTCCTGGGGCAGCCACTGGTAGACACTGGGAATGTAAGAAAAGACTGACTGTCCCTGCCTTGAAGGAATTACAGCTTCACTTCGGGGATGGAGACCCAGGAAGAAAAACAAGCAAACAAAAGTAAGCCACAAGGCCAGCCGGATTTCCCTGTGCAGCCCAGCCCAGAGTGGTCTCCGCAGTCTTGGGTTAGCATCCCTGCTGCCCTGCCTCTTTGTTCTGTGTGACACTGACCAAAGTCAAGGGGCTGTCCAGGCCTCAGTGTTCACTTCTTTAAAATGGAACACAGCTTGCCTATTTCATAGGACTGGCTGTAGTCTGCGGGAGAGACATCGTAAGCGGCTCTGGATAGGATCCCGAACCCAATAGCTTTTCTCCCCTTCCCTTGTTTGGAAGATGGTGCCATTCCTGGCAAGACCAGGAAGCTTTCTGGTTGTGGAATGCTGCTGTGCTGGGGGATGGCCCCTCCTGACACGAGCAGATCTGTCCATGGGAACGGACCTCCCCCACCCCCAATTTTAAATGTGCTTATTTCATCTTTTCAGATGTGCTCAATATTAGAGCAGCAGTCTACATCGGGGCCTGAGGCTACAGGAAGGGCTCCTGAGATGAAAGCTGACTTCTGAGTGTATTCTGGTTGCTCGGTTTTTGTTCTAATTCTGTACTTTGAGAAACTGATAGTTGTGGTTTCATGCTAACACGTGGGCGCCCCGACCCATAGAGTCCGCGATCTCTCTGCATGGCCACGGTTCCTGGCGTTCTTGCTTAGTTTAAAAAAAGAAAACAACAGCAGTTCAAGGTTGAATTCAAAATGACTGTTTGCGTTTGGTTACTTAGTGAATTCTGCATATTCGTTTGTTTAACCCGCAGTTGACGGAGTGCTCACCTGCTTCTGCGGCCTACTGGTTTTTTCCTGTTTGGTTTTAGTTTGGTTTGACTCAGCCCTGCAGTTTTGCTTCTGCCTCTTACTGGTCTTCATTTTGCACTAAAATGACTCAACATTACTTTGGAAGGTAGTTTTGAGCATTTCTCCCAATCCTGATGTATTATGGGTATCTCCTGCTCCTGCCTTCGCCCCGTGTGCGGCCCCAGCAAACACACGAGGAACTCTTCCCCGCACTTTCCCAGGTTCTTTGAGGGGATTGGAAGGAGTGGGCTCGTGTAGTAAGTTATCCATATGAGAAGCAGTTCCCCTTACCGCCGATGACCTTACCTCTTACCCAGCTGTCAGTGCCTCCCCACCTTCTTGCCATTTGCTTTGCGTTACTCGGGGCTCTGCCGTACTCTGGGAACTCTGTGACTTCATTCGTTACCCAATACACTGATCCCTAGTTGATTTTTTGTGCATTCTCTGGAATTTTCTGAGAACGAAGAAGTCTTACTTACTTTCTTTCCAATCTCTGGGTCTTTGCTTTCTCTTTCTTGCCTTATTGCATTGACCCAGCGTCCAGTACGACGTTAAATGTGAGTGGTGAGAGTGGGCATCCTTGCCTCATTCCCAGAATTAGTGGGGACGCTGCCACCAGAGATGACATTAGCTGTAGATTTGCCCAAGTAGATTTAAAATTCCTTGGTATTACAAGAACCGTTTCTTCTGCTCCTTTGGCTCCGGACCGACTTCACAGGTCAGCTTTTTAATGAGTGCCACAACCTGCTATAACTGTGTGCTACAGAGGATTGTCTTTGGTTTTCAAATATCCAGCCTGGCCGTCGCTAAGATGAGAAGTATTCTATTTTGGTGGAAAACACCGTAGAGTGCGTTAGCTATTTAAGGGTAGGGTGACCGAAACGTGTGGCAGTACAGGTGCACAGTGACAACTGAGCGCGATCTCCAGCGTGACGCTGCCCTACTGACCACCTGTACAAGAACCAGAGGTTCGTGTCTACCAGCCGAGGTGTGGATAGACAGGACGTGGTGCGTGGCTTGTGGAAAATGGACTAGTATTCATCCACAGAAGGGAATGAAGAACCAGTCTGTATGATACTGTGGCTGAACCTCAAAAATCCCAAGTAAAAGCAAGCAAGTCACAAAAGGCCACGTATTGTAGATCTCACATTAGTGAAATGTCTGGAATAGCCCGATCCGTGGACAGAAAGTAGACTCGTGGTTGCCGGAGGACAGGGTGGGGAGAGGATGGGCTGGGGAGCTAATGAAATCATGGGCATGGGCTTTCTGTTAAGATGATGAAAACGTTCTAAATTTAGGTGACGGCAATGGTTGTAAAGTCTGTGCTTATGCTACAAAGCCCTGAGTCGCACACAGGTGGACGTCAGGGTGTGCAAATTTTATCATAATGAGATGTTAAACACAAAAAGGACATAAAAGCTGAAGTGTTGGGGAATGAGCAGGCTGGAAAATGATGCAGCTGGAAACCGGGGGAAGGGGCCAACCTGCGAGGGTTTTCAGAGGCGGTGTCTAGGAAGAGGGACCAAGGATGCTGGCTTGGGGGAGGGGCATGTAGACCTGGGGCTAGACACCACGCTGCCCCATCACTGACACCAGATTTCACAGGAGAGTTTGGGGACAGGACACTTTTGAAAGCTGATGTCCGCAGCAAAAAAAGTTATCACATAAATACAAAGACCTCAAGAAGATCCCAAAACGGAGCGAAACTGAGACCATTCAACTAGTGCTATAGAGAACGGGGCTGGAGTGAGTGGCTGTCTCCAGGTAACCAGAAAACTACTAACCCTGCCTTTTTTCCTCCCCCCCTCCTTTTCTTTTGCAGACGATAGCCTTCGCTTTCCCTTGGTGAGTACAGAACCTTTTCAAATTTTTTTTTACCTGATGTGTTGTTAACTAACAACAACAACAAATAAGTGTGTGGGATTTAATTGTTAGAGAAACATTATTTCTGGAGAGAGAAGACCCGTATGGTCCACGTATTGTAGTAGGACTTTATGCCTGAACTTGCTTGAACCGACTGTATCACGCCAGATTTGCTACATCGTTCTGTGTGTGCGTGCTGCGCGTTTAAAGTCTGGCTCAGTGGTTCAGGCTCCCGAGTGGGCTGGTGAGAACGCGGTTTCCGCGCACTCTCCCTTCACGGATGTGTCCATACTCTCGAAAGGGCCTTGCTTTCTCTCGCTGCGCCCATGGGATGACTACTGGGAAACACAGAGGCGCATAATCACATCGATGGTAACTGCCTCTTAAATTGATCTGCTGTGGGAAAAACCTGCTGAAGAGGAGCTTTTCTGGATTGCACTTCGGGTTAAAACAGAAACAAAAAACAATCGTGTCATCATCACATACTTTTATGCCTTTTGAGATAGGGCACCATTCCACAGCCTTGACGTCCCAGCTCTCAGAAAAACAAACACCACTGCCTCTTTGTGTTTTACTCCATCAGCTTCCTGGTGTGAAGTTCCCCAAGGAGGTTGAGGGAGGAAAATCGAAGAGCTTTGGAAGGGGTTCCAGCATGTGGGCGAGCAGCGCCTTGGTGCGTGGTGTGTGCTCCCCCTGTGAGTGTACCAGCACGTACGCGGCCAGGAAGTTGGGTTTCCTACACGCATCACCTTGTTTGGCATGCTTTGACTCTGTCCTGAATTGTTTTAAGGTCAGCGGGTCGCTGTCTGGCTTTGGCTGGCCCCCTCGGTTGCTGTCGTGATGCTGTTCCTGCTGGGCATGAATGCTTGTAGTCTCCCCGGTGTGATCAGATGCATTTGGGGTGTATGCACTGTTGCGCCCTATCTCAAAGGAATGCAAACACAGTCAGAGATTTATCAACAGAGAGAGAATGGGAAAGGCTCCGTTGGCCACCTACTAAGCTAATTGTGTTGTTCGCGTTCTCTAACATGCCATTATTGGATGTTAGCAATCTTGGATGGCATGATCTCCTTGGGCATATGTCCACAATGGGCTCCAAGAGGAGGAATGTTACTGGCATAATATTACCGGATGAGGCTTAAGCACAAGAAGTCTACAATCCCTTATTGCCTCAGAATCCTAAGTGAGAGGTGTTGCCTCATCCATACTGGTTTGGAGAGATATTAAACATGCTGCTTTTCAAGAGCAGTGGCTCCCTTTCCTATTGGAATGAAACACTGGAAGGTCATGCCCCACAGTCTCCTCTTCTTCCCAGATACAAGATCTCGATTATGACCTGTTAAAAGCATCTGCCTCTTGCCTTCCTTGGCTCTCCGCTCAGCACTGGCCCCCACACCCAGTCTTGCCCTTTGCTTGTTGGAAGGTTTCTTGTCCTCTTGGTATGTGGGCCCGTAGCCTGGCCTGTCGCTCAACTGAGGGCCATCCTTCGCCTCCCTTTCAATAGGACAGTAAAGATTGCTTTGGGAAGCTGTGAGTTCTTAGGTAGGAAGTGCTTCTTATTTCAGGAATTTTCTCTTCCATGTGAGCAAAGGCTGTCCCAAGCATGACCCCCCTGTGGTAGCTACCTTATTTGATGCTTTTGTTTGGAACCTGCTGCTGGGAGGAAGGGGTGGAACACCACGGTGATCTCATGGCCTGTGGCAATTTCATTGCTAAATATTTGAGTTTTGCTCCAAGAGTTTCAAGATTTCAACTAATAGAAAGGAATTTAATTCTAATTTGTGGGATTAGAAACCGGCTTTTGAGTCCATTAGAATGAAATAAATAGCTCCCTTTGGGCAGGGCAAGGGAGAGTAAACTCCCTGAACCTGGCCACTGTCCCAAGCTGCCATCTGCAGGTGGCGGGCGAGCCGTGGGGCAGGAGCCCAGGAGATGCCTGCTGGGTGAACACGGGGACGTGTGGGAGCCCCTGCTGAGCTCCCGGGACTCAGCCGGCAGTCCCTTCTTAGGGTCACTGTGATGTGTCAGTGAGCTCACCCCGAGTCAGCGGTTAATAAGATCATTGTAACTAACACCGTCACATAATTTAGGAGTTGTTTCTGTTTAAAGAAGGCGTTCAACTGTATAGCAACGTATGCGCCATTACTGTAATGGGGATCCAAAGGTGTTCTCTTCTCTAGCAACAATCTCTGATTCTTCACTTAAAAAAAAGGCACCCCGGGGGCACCTGGGTGGCAGTTGGGTGTCTGACTCTTGGCTCAGGTCATGATCTCATGAGACATAAGACCGACCGAGCCCTATGTTGGGCTTCTCGCTCAGCATGGAGTCGGCTTGAGATTCTCTTTTCCTCTCCCCCCTCCCCTCCCCCCACTCGTGTGCATGTGTGCTCTCTCTCAAATAAATAAATAAATAAATAAACAAAACATTAAGAAAAAAGCCATTCTATGTTAATATCTGACCTTAAAAAAAGAGAGAGTCAACTTTTTGCTCTTTAACTGGATTAAGTGGGACCTTTTTGGCATGACCAACCACCATTCTCATGGTTTTCTATTGTTTCTCATTTCTCCTTTTTTGGAATACGTAAATATGGACTTGGGAGGGGACACCATAATTTATATCAACCATCAAACATGACCAAAGTTCCCTCAACTAGTGGACGCTTGCAACTCTGTGGGTCTCAGTTGCGTAGTATTTAAATAAGGGGATGGGATGTCAGAATTAAGAATTTATGCAAGACACGCAATTAAGGTTTAAATATCTTTTCCAGGCTCTTTGAGGTCTTATACTGTTATACCAAAGGGTATCCACCAGTAAGTAAAATTAAATGATACTGTAACTTGACTATTTCACTTTGGCTCATGGAAATACCAAAGGAATAAAAGGCAATGAAATTAAAGTGCTGATGTTAACAGTGAATTTAATTTTAAAATTAGCTTAGAACATTCCGTCACTAGCTGTCTCCTCCTTAATGATCCGTCCTTCCTCCTTTGTCAGTTTCAACATGTGTGATTTTTCTCTTCAAAGTCATTTATCTTCCTTGGTATTGATTCCAGTGGCCACCATGGCATGAAAAGAGAAGACTCTGAAGGTTTTTAAATGTGGCAAGGCAGAGAGCAAACCGCTCGGAATGTGCTTTCTGGCCGCCTTAGCTAGGGCTGAATTTCTGCAGGTGAAATAGGGCATTCTTGTGTTGGTTTCTGAGTCTGCAGAAAAAAAAATGAGAAGCTTCATGAATGATGTGGAAAGCACAGAAGACTTGAAAACGTTCTCAAATATTTGATCCCTCTTTCTTGCTTTTGCCCTGTTCTTGGGTTTTAATTAGCATCGGTGGATCCTCTGGGTTTCCCACTCGAGCAAAATGTGTTTCTCCCAACAGCGAAGGAGTTATTCTCCTGTAACTGACACTGGAAAACGACTGTAAGTTGGAAGAACGCCTCTGGACCTGCTGGTGACAAATGGATTGATCCCTCCTTTATTTCCACTTCCATTTTCCCCCCAGGAAAGTTTCAACATTCTTCCAAGAAGTACCTCCCCCAAGAGTCTACTAGCTAATCGTTTGTCATATAGCAAAGCCATGGATATTAAGCTGTCACAGTTTCCACTTAGAGGAAATAGGAACACAGCTTTTCTATATAAGCTCCTGGCTCGCCCCTGAACTCCTGCAGACCCAGCTCAGAGCTGGAATTCTTCGAGAAATCCTTTTCCAGCTGACAGGAAAACATGGATTCTCTCGGGCCACGATGGCTTCCCGGCGTCGTCCCAGCAGGAGAAGAGGTAAAGGCAAACTGGAAGGGGAAACTTCTCGCTTTGTATTTAGGTCGTGGTTGCTTGTAATATAATTTCTAAGGCATTTAAAAATTCGGTTCAAGGAAGCAGTCATTAAATGAGCATTTGGCAAGCGCCTCAGTGAACTCTCTCCAGCCCTGTGCAGGAAATCTGGGATTTAGGCTTCAGGAAACTGTTTAATGCACGTCAGCCTGGCCAGGCAGTGGCCGGGGACGGTGGACAGAAGCCGCCTCGGGGCCGGAGGGTTGTCTGACTGCCAGGATTCCAAGGTGAGGTCCACCTTTTAGGAAAAACAGTTATTGTTGACTGGATGACACATCACGATCCCACCCATTGAAAGTTGGACATTTCCTGTTTTTATAATCAAACCCACCCTCTTCACTTTCCTTATCAGCTGGATTTGTGAAGCGGCATTTCAGTTAAAAGGGACGCGGTGAGAATCTGGCAGTACCTGGTCTGCCGGACCGTGAGCTGGTCCAGGAGCTGTGGTTCAGGTTCATGGGGGGGACCGACGTTCCGTGGGCGGTTTCTGTTGCAGGAACAGACAGCATCTGTGCCCACTGCCCGACCAGTGGCATCGTTCACACAGGGTGGGGGGAGAGGGAGGAAGACGAGAAATGTAGAAATCCCTTTAGGTGTATGACTTACAGAGAGATTTCTCAGACCCCCTGGGCACTGGAGTCAGGAATGAGGTCTGCTACCCACTGGAAGAAACATAGACCCGTCCCCATTTGATGCGGGAACCACCCCCCTCCCCCACCGCCTACAGTCCTGTTGACTGGGGGATGTCCCCATGTGAATCAGGACAGTGAGCCACAGGAGGAGAAATCCTCCTGTTCAAAGATTGCCCATTCATGGGGTGCCTGGGTGGCTCAGTGCGTTAAGCCTTGCCTTCGGCTCAGGTCCTGATCCCAGGGTCCTGGGATCAAACCCCACATTGGGCTCTCTGCTCAGTGGGGAGCCTCCTTCCCTCTCTCTCTCCCTGCCTGCCTCTCTGCCTACTTGTGATCTCTGTCTGTCAAATAAATAAGGAAAAATCTTTAAAAAAA